TCTTATTTATTTATTTTCTAATGTAGCCTAACACACACCAGCTAATTCTACTCACAACAGATTGTTGTTTATTCTGATGCTTTGTCAATTTAGTAATCCAGCAAAACCATATAGACAAACATTATCTTGTGGGTGCAAGCAAGAGAGATTATTAAGAGGAAAAGGAATTTAAAATGGTCTGTAAAAAACAAACCTTCAATGTTTAGGGGGGAAAAAGCCACCCAGATAATTTCAAATTGCGAGACTAACGGAAAAGTTTGCTCTTGGCTTAAAATAATAATAATAATAAAAAAAAACTCACAACACCACAAGCTCTTTCACATGCTCAGAAACCATTTTTACCCCAGTCAATAATTTTAAATACTGCATAGGTTTTTCTTTAATTCTTTTACCGGTCTATTCTTAAGTGAAGTGGACTGCTCATATGCTTCACAAACTGTTGAAACTACCATAAGAGGCAAGGACAGCACTGGAGTTCTGAGTAAGATGAATGTATGTCCTGATTCTCTAAGATTTTCTGCTTTACTATACTTGCAATTTCTAACTTTTAACGTTAATTTGAACGTCCATTTTGCTTGGGAAAAGAAACAATTTTAAAATAACGTTTTTACCACACTGGGGTACAACCACATGTTCCACTAAGTCTTTCAAGCTGGGAAATTGAATGAAGAGTATTCAGTCGTTTTGCGGTAGAAATTAATTTGAAAATCACTTGAGGTAGTGTCACATACTCATAGCCTCCCTCCCACCTTCCATAGAATTGGGGGTAGAAGGGTATGTGCATACAATATTCCACTCAAAGAGTTATATTAAAAGAATATTAATGTTGTAAAGTGGGACACTCAAGATTCAGGAAATGAGTGTTAAGGTTGTCCGGCAACATGAACTCCTCACCCTTTCACATTTGCATCATACTACAATCGTTAACTACACATGGTCAAATAGTAATTCTTCTAAAAGATCTGACACATTCAGTGCACAATTTGGATGGCGGGGAATGTAGGTGAAATGACTGCAGGCCGATTGGCCTGCAAGTTTATACCAGTCTGAAAAAATATATATCCAGGGCAGAGAGCTTGAACTATTGGTCTTTAAATTGCTTATTTTGTGCTACACTGAAGACATTTAAGGAGGTTGCACCTTGATAAAGCTCAAATCTGTTTTTATGACTTAATCAATTACATTTTGCCATATTTGGGGTGTTGGAGCCAAACAGGGTCTGCTCCTGAAATAAGCTACTGAGACGCCTGGAGGCAGGGATTTAAGTCCTTGCTGCTGATAGGTTTTGATGATGGCATCATTGGAAAAAACATCTCACTTGCAGGATAAAATGCAGCATTTTGCTCTCTTCAAATGTTGAAAGTTTCATTCAACCATACATTTGATCCTGAGGAACCTGCAGTGATTTTCTGTTTTTTGATGTGAGCACAAATCCTTTCTAGCTTGTGACTTACAAGCTCTTGACATTATTTTCACTTTAGCAACAAACAGTGACAAAGGATTTCCACTATGACCCTGTCCAGCCATGCCTGTCTCTAATCAACACTGACTCCAAAAATCCCAGCCTGTTGAGCAGGGCCAGATTAACCCAGCACTGGGCCTTCGACAAACACACACAGATGTTGCTTATAGTTAACCCCTCTCCTATCCAGGTTAATCCTAGTCAGTTAATCTGGCGGCATGGACATTGCCCTATTAACCCCTTTGTATTTGTAGCCACGCAAGTCTCCCTACCACCCTTGTCCCAGATAACACCCCCCCTCCCCCTTGTGGGCACTTACCACAGTTCCCCACCCTGGCAGCAAAGCTACGGCTGGTGGTCTGGGCAGAAGCCAGCCCTGTGGCAGAGGTGAGGAGCAGCAGCACTGGCCATCCACTGCCCACTCAAGTTTGGCCCTTATAGGGGGGCAGTGGGACCAAATTTGAGTGAGGAGCACTGGGGCCTAGCGCACAGGGATTGCAGCATCACTCAAGTTGGGCCCCAGGCACCTGCCTAGGTTGCAGGGGCCTTAATCTGTCCCTGTCTTTGAGGCATCTAGACAATTCACTCGTTTTTATTGTTTATGCCTTTTAGGCCTAGTGGGAAATAAGCGCCTTGACCGTTTCATCTCTTCCCTTTTCACTTTAATTTGTGTGTGAATTAAAAAAAAAACTTTCCTTTCTTCATAGACCTTGACGTTTCTAGTATGGAAAACTTTTCAAATACGCCGTGTTCATGTCACGGGAGGAACAACAGCCGTTAAAGAAAATGGAAGTCTGGGGAGGTGAGCAGGGAAAAGCATAATAAGACTCAGGGAGGCAGTCTTTGACAGGCAAAAAGGCACCATTGACAGAGGTCTATCCATCCCTGCTGAACTTTGAGTTTAACACCCCTACCTTCGAGAAGCTTGAGCTGTTCATATAACAGCTTGCAAAGCTTGTTTGGAACTGTTGCAATATGTTTTTCCTCCCTCTTGCCAAAATAGCTGTTCTCTTTTTGCTCAAACTCTCCATAACATTCTGTAGGGCTGAGCAAAAACGTGCCAAATTGTAACCAAAAAAAGAAAATTATAAGGATCTTAAAGTGACCTTGTAGAATGAAAGCTGCCCTTGCTGCCTTTCCTACAGGAGTCGTGCTGCACTGGGTTAGAGTAGTACAATTATATACAAACATGAGTGCATATTAGAAAGCAATTAGTTTATTGTTGAGTTGCAGATTGCATAAACATTTGGTCCCCTAAAGCCACTGAACTTCCCAGATTTTTGGCATGAAGTAATATCAGTTGGTTAAAGTTGACAAGACATTGCATTATTGACGGTAGATGTTTACGCAGATTTAGTAGCAATTGAATCAGTGTTCTCCCCTTCAACAACCACCACTTGAGAATATTCATTTTAGTGCATCACGCATGGGAAGACCTTTTAATTTAGACATAAAACTGCCACAGTGATCTGAAAAAGAGAGACCAGATATTATTTCACATGTTGTTAAACAATAAAACCTAACAGCACCCAAAAAGATAACTTAGGTCTGTTTAAGAGGTGTCGACAAGCAGAATTTGAGATTTCATGGGATATTCAAAAAAGCCCATATGTGTATTTATAGGGTCTCTGCACTCCTATGAACCTTGTCTGTTATAAATACAGGCTTTAGATATATTCTCACTTTGAGATAACTTACACAGTTGACTATTTGCTGGGCAAACGAATGAAATCAAACACTAAAGCTTCAAGGAGATTACAGAGCTGCCAAGGTCTGAACTATATCAACAGCTTGAAATCAGCTCATTCAACATAGCTTTGACAGTATTACACTGGCAAAACAAACACACCAATGGCATTCGCATAGCGGGGCATTCCATTCCAGTAGTGCCTTTTGCTAGTTTCGGGGGGGGGGAGGGTACGGGGGGGGAAACCATCTTGTTACGTAGCCATTTCCACAGGAAAAATTACATCCTGCCCTCATCACAACACCACAGAAGAGACCTTAGGGGACAATCGCATTGGGTTGTAACCCAACAGGGGGTCACGTGACATTGGGCCAGAGGGCAGAATTTTGCCTATGAGCGGAGCCTCAAAAAAAAAAGTTCGCCACAGTGAGTGGGGCTACAGGACGCCCCTGAGGCGAGGTGGGTGTGAGGGTTGGGGGTTCCCCTGGGAGGGGAGCCCCAGAGCATGTGGGGGTACTACAGTGGGCAGAACCCTGGGGTAAGGGGCACCGGGGTCCGGGAAGGACATGGGGGCCTGAGGCAGGCGAGTCATCGGCCTGCAGAGGGCGCTCCGGGCTGGACGAGAGCTAATTCCCAAGATGGCCAGCAAGGGGCGCCAGACCGGTGAGTCAAGCATTGCTACAATGGAGCTACTAAAAGATGCTGCCGAAGGGGGAAGAAATAAAGACATGGCACAGACTCGTTTTCCTTGATTAGCTTGTCTTACATAAAATTCTATGCACATACAGCAATGGAGCAAACAAAAGTCCCTGTCACTTGTCTCTCTTGACCCTTCCTTGCGGCTTCTGAATAGGGGAGAACTCTGCTAGTCTGACTAATGCTCCCTTCCTTTAACAATGCATTTTCTAGAGTCCTCCATCCAGCATGCTACCCGAATCCAACAGGGAAAATGCAGATTCCCGTATGCATTTGGTTCTAGGTCTAACTGTCCCCTCAATTAGTTTGCTCACCAGAAGAAAAGAAATGCATGTCGGGGGAGGGGGTGTGTGTTAAAATATGTTGTTTCCAAAAAGTGTGTAAAACACTCTTTACTTACACAACAAATATGAAAGCTATAGGATCCAGACTGTTATACTGACTTCCATATCACTTTGGATCAAGGTAAACAGGCGTGTTTCACTGTTATTCACCTGCATAGGATGAGTTTTGAGAGCTCCCCAAGACAGTAAAGCTGGTTGAAAAGTTACACGTTTTCAAGAAAATGTTTCTCCATTATTTAGATTCCTAGATTTTTGCAGCGAAAAGGGACCATTATGATCACCTCATCTGACCTCCTGCATAGACACAAGCCAGAGAACTTCACCCAGTGACTTCTATACCAAGCCCATCACTACTCAGGTACAGTATCTCTTCTAGAAAAAATAGGCGGTTTGGGTTTAAAAATTCCAGTTATGGAAAAGCCACCTCATCCCTAGGCAAGTTGTTCCAGTCATCAGCACGGTTAACAAATGTCTTATTGACAGTCTGAATCTCTCTAGCTTCAGCTTCCAATGCTTGGACCTCATCTCGTTACACCCTTTTCTGCTAGATTAGAGAGCCATTTACTATCAGAATTCTTGTCCCTACATAGCTACAGTAGACCCTCAGAAGTTATGAACACTAGAGTTACTAACTGACCCATCAACCACACACACACCTCATTTGGAACCAGAATTACACCATCAGGCAGCAACAGGGCCCTCCCCCCCCAAAAAGGTAAATACAGTACAGTACTGTGTTAAATGTAAACTACTAAAAAAAAGGGAAAAGTTAAAGATTTGTCAAGAGAAGGAAACTGTTCCTGTGCTGGTTTCATTTAAATTAAGATAGTTAAAAGCAGCATTTTTCTTCTGCAAAGTCTGGACCCATCAACACTGTATTAAGTCAATGTTCAGTTGTAAACTTTTGAAAGAACCATAACATTTTGTTCAGAATTACAAACAACCTCCATTCCTGAGGTGTTCGTAACTTGGAGGTTCTACTGTACTAGTATACCATGATCAAAGAAAAGATTAAGAGATCACTCGATCAGCTAAATAGACTGCGTTTCTTTAGTTAATGCCATATACAGAGGTAATACTACCTCTTTATTTCTACTTGGTATCCTTCGCTTATGAATCCAAGGACTGCATTTGTGCTCTTAACCACGAGAAAGTGAGCTTCCAGTGCAGCATTGTAGATATCTATCATGACCCCCAAGTCCTTTTTAGGGTCACAGCATTCCTATGTATTGTATCCTCTCTTGTGTGACCTACTTTCTTTGTTCTTCGATCTATTAACCTTGCATTTGGCATGCTGTTCTCATGAGCCTATCTTACCAAGCAACCCAGCTTGGTCTGTGTACCACACGTCCCCTTTATTTACCATTCCAACCATGTGTCAGTTGCAAAATTTTACCGACAGTTAATTTATATTTTCTTCAAGATCATTGATAAGATTGAATTGCATTCAGCCAAAACCAGGTTCCTCCGGGGCCCCAGAAACACCCCTACGCTGGGAGATGAGTCCTCATTCACAGTTGCTTTTTGTGATCAGGTAACCTAATTTTAATCCATTAAATATGGCTACACTGATTCAGTATCGTGCTAAATTTTATTTTACATCAGATCATCATACAGGACTAAGCCGAGCACCTTACAGAAATCCAAGCATATTATGTCAACGGTTAC